CACAGCAAGGTGGTTCTTTTGTGTTGCAGGTTGACCGATTAAGGGTTAATTTATGTTTATTTTATTCCGTTTTTCTTCTCATCATAAATATTTTACTTATTTTTATCATATTTTTTGAATAAAATTCAAAAATCACGCATTTTTACTCTGCTTTCCACCCATTGCAGCTCTGAGGCCTCCCGGGCGGCCCATCGCCGCTGCGCTTCATCTTTCGTGCTGATCTCTGCTTTTTCTCGTTTTGTTTTCGCGGATTCTGTTTCTTCTGTTGCTTCTGCAGCAGCAACAAGCCCTTCGAGCTCACTTGCTGCTGCTGCTTCAGTTGCAGCAGCAGCTGCTGCGGCAGCAACAGCCGCAGCAGCAGCAGCAGCACGCACAGCGTACAACGACTCCCTTCATTGTTTGACTCTCCAGCAGCAGCATCAGCATCAGCAACAGCAATAGCAGCAACAGCAGCAGCTGTAGCAGCAGCAACAGCGTAAGAGGCAACGGAAGCAGCAGCAACATCAGCAGCAGCAGCAGCAGCAGCAGCAGCAGCAGCAGCAGCAGCAGCGTTTCTCCTCCCATGACCCCATGCAGCCACTCAGTAGTATGAAGAACCGCTTATTTAACCTAAGCCGTTACTACACACCCAACAATACGGCATCAAAGAACAACAACAACACAGAGCAGGTGCTGCAGCAGCAGCAGCAGCAGCAGCAGCAGCAGCAGCAGCAACAGCTGCAGCAGCAGCAACAGCAGCTTCAACAGCAACAGCAGCAGCTGCAACAGCAACAACTGCAGCAGCTGCAGCAGGCACAGGGGGCCCCTCCAGCTGCAGCTGGTCTCCCAGGGGCCCCCCAACCCAATACAAACACAGAACAAGGGGGGGCCCCCGGGGCCCCCGGGGGGCCCCCCGCTCCCCAGCAGGGTACAGTACAGGGTACAGCAGCTCCGTACCCTATGCAGGCTGACAAGAGGATGGATGAGGCTACAAACGCAGCAGAGAGGGGCCCCCAGGGGGCCCCCCCCCAGGGGGGAGATGTGTGTGGTTGCTGCTCTGGCGGTATAGATAATAATAATAATAATAATGAGCATCATCATCAGCAGCAGCAGCAGCAGCAGCAGCAACAGCAGCAGCAGCAGCAGCAGCAGCCGCAGCAGCAGCAGGAGGAGACGCAGACAAAACCACATTTTTTCTCGCTTTGTACGAAATGTGCAAATGATGGAAAGGTATATATTCTTGCTGCTGCTGCTGCTGCTGCTGCTGTTGTTGCTGCTGCTGTTGCTGTTGGTGCTGCTGCTGGTGGTGTTGCTGTTGCTGCTGCTGGCGGTGTTGTTGCTGCTGCTGGTGCTGCTGCTCTTGCTGCTGCTGTTGTTGCTGCTGTTGCTGCTGCTGGTGTTGCTGTTTTTACTGCTTCTGTTGTTGCTGCTGCTGCTTATCCTCTTTTCCTTGTTATATATGTATAGTTGCTGCTGTTGCTGCTACTGCTGCTGCTGCTGCTGCTGCTGCTGCTGCTGCTATTGCTATTGCTGCTGCTGCTGCTGCTGCCCCCCTGCACCCGCATTTCTTTCTTTTTTTTTAATTTACAAACACAAACAAACATTAAAACAAATAAATTATTTATATATATATATATATATATATATTTATTTATTTATTTATTTATTTATTTATTTATTTATTTATTTATAGGGAGAAACAAAGGGCGTAAAGGTATCAGCTGGTGGTTTCATCACCCGCAGCGAGAGTTATATAAATGCATGCGCAGCAGCAAGATGGGGCCCCACAGCAGCAGCAGCAGCAGAACAGCAGCAAATAGAAAAAGAAACAAACAATAACACAAAACGAACAGTCTTTGATAGATCGAAATTTGTACAAGAAATACAACTTGATGGTAAACTGCTGCTGCTGCTGCTGCTGCTGTTGCTGCTGCTGCTGCTGCTGTTGCTGTTGGTGCTGCTGTTGCTGCTGTTGGTGCTGGTGCCGCTGTTGGTGCTGCTGTTGGTGCTGCTGTTGATACTGTTGTTTCTGTTGTTGCTGCTAATACTGTTGCTGTTGCTGCTGCTGCTGCTGCTGCTGTTGCTGCTGTTGTTGTAGCTGCTGTTGCTGTTGCTGCTGTTGCTGCTGCTGCTGTTTGCTGCGATGCTGCTGTGGCAGCTCAATCTATTTGTTTAATCATTTGTCTTTATTTATTTATATATTCATTTATTTATATATATATTTGTATATGTTTATTTATTTATTTATATTTATTTATATTTATTTTTTTATTTGTTTATATATACGGCTGATGTAAGCATAAACGGCAGAGCCTAAGGAAGGGTTCTTTATATAAATATACAAAATAGATAGATATAAATACATAGTTTTGTTTGTATTTTTTTCTATATTAATATTTATTTATTTATATTTATTTATTTATATTTATTTATATTTATTTATATTTATTTATTTTTTTTTTTATT